AAATTTATTTTATTTGTGAATACAGGTAATGAGACAGAATAGATCTTTTTTTTTATGTTCGCTGCTTTCAACCCTTAGGTATACAAATATTACAGTTACAATTAAATATATTACATTTTCCACAATTATTTCATTTTATTATTTATATTATAATTATATAAGAAAATTAAACAATGATGTAATAATGAATTGGAATGGGATATTTACAATAATATATAGTCTAATCGAATGTCAAATGAATTGTATTTTATGAAATGTCATTATAATATAATGTCATTATAATGCCTACTTATGCGTCACTTATGTATTCATCGATTGAGTAGTAGCATTTCTCAATTAGAAATGTTTTAAATTCTTTCTTAAATTTATGAATATTTTCCATTTCATAAAACATAGATGGAACCTTATTATAGATTTTAGATAATATACCGAAAACGCTTTTTCTAAGTAAAGCTGTACTCTGTACTCCTGGCATTACTCTCTATTTTGTAAAGCTCCGTTTCAATCGGTTCAGCCATTGGATCGAGATGATCGCAGACAGATAGATAGATAGACAAACAGACAGATAGACAGACAAAAATATAAAACTGGTTATTCATGTTTTAATGACATACAAATAACAGCTCAATATACAGTTATTTCGATATTACAGACAGACATTTCTATTTTACATATTTATATATAAATAAATATATACATATAATATGTAGGTAGCAGATAATATAATATAAAGCAGATAATAAATAATACTTCACTGATATTCAGTCTACTGAAAATCTGAGACGCTAGAGTCCTTTCGATGCCTAATTTAAAAAAAGATGAACAAATATGCCAATTTAAATCCATACAGTCAGATCAAATGAAAAAACCTTGCAAAATGCTAAATGATGATGAAAAAATGGTATTTTCATCTTTTTAGTAGTTTGGGGTTGCAATAGCGTTTGGTCAATTTAAACATCTTAGCTGCTTACGCTTTTGGATAAATTCGTCGACACGCTATGTAAATTTTGGTGGTAGCCAGATTATGGATTTGTATTTGTATAAATAATATGTAGTATTCAGTGGCGTAACTAAATCTTTTCCAACGAATGCATTGAAATTTTGATAAATTTTTTTGTTTTACTTGTGTATGCACTTTACCTGCCTTAAATTAATTAAAGATAAAACTAATACATTTTACTAAATGTTGTAATAATAAATGTTAAAATTCTCTTGTGCTAACGACCTTATCGGGGCCTGTGGCATTTTGTCCGGCCTGCCGCCCTATTGTTACGCCACTATTTTGTGTGGTAAATTATAAAAGATAATTCATCTCATTGTGTGATGGACTTTTATATGTCACATGCGTCATCCTTGTGGACAGGTGCTGTTTATAGAGGACGGGCTGCTCGCGTTGGCTATTCTTTGATTTTTATGAAATTGATAAGCTCCAAATATTAACGCCCTTTTTTAACTTGTTTTAGTATGTTATTGAACGCGCTGGAAATACCAATAGGTTAATCATATTTCATGTTTTATAAGCTTTGTTTTGCTTTACTTAACGTTAAAAACAAATAAGGTTACATTCGAAGTTTCTTTCGGCGTTTCATACAATTAAATGACATTAGGCACACGATATTTTATTTAAACGTATTTAATTTCATTTAGGCAAATTCATTTCAATATTGCAGGTCAAAATAGTACTTTGGCATACTCTCGCTCAACATTAAGAACTACCTTACCTAAACTCATTTACCAATTTATTATTTAGTTTTTTTTTGTTTAAAAGATTGACATTTACCTAATAATTATACCTAATAATTAAATCTGAGAGTACCGCAGGGTGGGATGACATACCAACAAGATTCTCAAAACTCGTTAAGGAACATGTGGCTCCTGTGATAGCTCATTTGGCAAATATTTGCTTTAGTCAGGGCATTTTCCCAACTGCCCTAAAGCGAGCAATTATTACACCAGTATATAAGTCTGGTGACATGGAAGATACATCAAACTATAGACCTATCTCTGTTTTGCCAGTCATCTCAAAAATCCTAGAAAAACTCTTAAATAATCGGCTAATATCTTACTTGAATACATACAAGCTGCTTTCAGACCATCAATTCGGATTTAGAAAAGGGATTTCTACCGAAGATGCCGTAATAAAATTGACTTCTCTTATCGTGGACAATGTGGATAAAGGTAACAAATGCTTAACTGTATTTTTAGACTTGAAAAAAGCCTTCGATACCGTGTCGGTACCTACTTTAGTACGAAAGCTCGATAAACATAGGTATAAGAGGAATCCCTTTAAAACTCTTTGTTGATTATCTCACTGGACGTGAACAATGCGTGAAAATTGGGCCCTATGTGAGTGAGCACTGTGACGTAACTTTTGGCGTTCCCCAGGGTAGCGTGCTTGGTCCAACCCTATTCATAATATATATTAACAATCTATGTTGTATGAAAATCAGAAGTGGACAGATATTATCTTACGCGGATGACACAGCTGTTGTCTTTACGGGGCGGACTTGGGATGATGTACTTTCAGTAACAGAGAGAAGTCTTGCCGAGATAAGCAGTTGGTTAAATAATAATCTCTTAACTCTCAATACCACCAAAACTCATTACAAATTATAATAATTCACAACCGGAAACAAATTTTGAAATCAAAATACACACATGTTCTGAATTTTCCAACCCTGATTGTACTTGTAACAAAATATCAAAAGTAGACAAAACAAAATATTTAGGAGTAATAATTGACCAGCGTCTATCCTGGCATGCACATCTTGAACTGATGATGACTAGGATGCGGAAACTTATATGGATTTTTAAAACTCTTAGACATATAACAGATAAGACCTTACTGGGTCAAATATATGTTTCATTAGCTCAATCCATTTTGACATACTGTACCCCAGTTTGAGGTGGGGCCACTAAAATGAAGTTCTTGGAACTAGAAAGAGTACAGAGATTATTATTTAAAGTGATGCACTTTAAGCCCTACAGATTCCCTACTAAAGAGCTATACATCCTATGTGACCACCTTTCGGTCAGGAAGCTGTATATCCTTAACTCTGTATTAAGATTGCACAGGATGCTGATATATAACCCCAAAATTTGCGATAGAAGAAGAGGACATGCTGTAGCACCAGTAGTACCCATGAAAACGAAATTCCCTAGGAGGCAATTTAGAAGTCAGTCTGCTCATCTCTATAACTATACTAATAAAAAACTTAACATATATGCAACGACCAAGCATAATGTGAAAAAACAACTTACAGCGTGGTTAAAGACAATAGAGTATGAAGAAACTGAAAATTTATTGAAATAAATAGAAAAATTACACCACAGCATAAATACTTTCCACAACACACGCACGCACGACAAAAACACACACACAACACACACACACACACACACACACACACACAAACACACACAGACACACACATACACACAGACGAGAGCGCGCGCATGCGCGCGACAGCACGCACTTGGTTTAATCTTTACATATGCGCAATTTTATACGTATCTAAAATTGTTATGGAAGAGCGGGGTCCCCTAACACAGGTATTGATATACTTAAAAGGAGACCCCAGCCTAGTTAATGTATTTAAATTTAAGATACTGAATAAAGAATAAAAAAATTTGAATTTTTGAATTTGAAAACTTCGGTTTAGTGTAGTCGACGTTGATACAATTTGAATAAAAACCGGATAGAAATTTTATTTTTGACCATTCAATCAACTGAAGTGTGACGATTTCGTCTTCGTTTTGCTTGAATGAAGTCATCATTGTAACAACTTTCGACTTTTCAACCGCATTAAGACGATATAAATTCCTCTTTTTGTAAAGATGTTTTTTATAAACGTATCATAGAATATAATATCATAAATATTAATACATTGATTTCCACTAGCATCATAGCAAATGTAAGTACAAACTGTAGCACCGGTGCTACAGTTTGTACTTACAGTTTGGCTTTGCCGTGAGATGTGTTTGATAATCTGATTTTTTAATTACAGTTTTTACAATAGACTTATTGCATTTAATTATTTAAGAAATGAAATTAAACATATTATGACATATACATTTTACGCTTTTCCAACAAAATCCCAGAAAATATACAAAGTGCAACTTCTGCCAAGTTCATTCTTATTAAACAAAAATGGTATTAAAAGGGTTATTTTAAATTATAAGGAATTCAACCCCTAGGAATGAGGTGATCGCTAGCAAGCTATTTCTTATTTGTATTGTGTTGTTGTATAAAATATGTGATTTTAACTGTTCTTTTTTAACCTTGTACCGCTGGGTTTATTAATGGGTTTACACAGGACAGAGGTATTTTCCGAACCAGTAGTAAATTTAACATAATAGTGACTTTCAATAAGAATTATTTATTATCTATATTGAATAAAAAAATCTATTTCTATAGTATCATGGCCTTAACTGTAAAGTTATTCTTATTATTTATTGCCTATCAAATAAAATATTGTATAAATTATATTAACGTATTTGAATGCATTTAATACATCAACATTATTATATTATATGTTAATAAATTAACAAAATCATGTAAATTTTTAAAAAGATGGTCGGAATGTAATTCGCAAAATTGCAGCTATAAAGTAAATGTCACACATCTCGCATACGCTAGATTTTCGCATCGCAAACATTTTATATTTCAATAATTTATCGGATGAAATAAGCAAGCATTAACCAAACGCTCACATAATTATCGCAACATCATACATTAAGTTAAATTAATTGATAAAAAATGAGAGTGTAAAAATAGTATATATCGGTACTACAATAATTGTATTACGAAATATAGTTTTGAATAAGCAGGAACAATGATTGAAACAAATAGGAAGTTCTAGCACAGCCAAGTTATAAAACGTAATCAAATCGGTGTTATGTGCTGCTATTTTATGCGTCGAAATCAATCATAACTAAAAACTTTAAATTTATCAAATTTTATCAGATAAGTACTATAAAATAGGCATTAAATAGCTTACCCAATTGCCCGGAGATTACGTCAAATGTGTTGCAATTGTCGAGAATAAACGTCGGGTTTCCATACAACGCCTGCAAAAATATAAAATTTAAAATTTATGAAAAAGGTAAACAGAAATGTGTTGAGAATTTTTTAACCTTTTACGTCATTGAATTACGATTAGTGGAACAACGACAAGGAGTAGTACTTTTTTAGCATAAGGGTGATAAACAAACACACAGTTCACCAGATGGTAGATGGCTGCTGTGGTCCATACACATCTACATCTATCCTTGTTTACGAATCAAAATGCAGATGCGTTGTGACCCCGGAGGGCTGATCGTTATCAATAAAAAGGCTCTCAGATTCTCTACATTTACCATACGAAGAACAAGCAGCATTAAGTTGTTATTTCACGCAGATATTGTGAGGGCGTGGTCTTTCCCCTATCATTAGCGTTCCGAGTCAAAATTATCAAACCGAATACATCTTCTTATTATGGAATCACCTCGATGTGAGTCTGACTGTTACAAACGTTTTATCATAGACGCTATTTCACATAGACGGTTGAAATTTGTTATAATCACAATACATAGTAACACAAACACACGCGTTCAATATTAAAATTTTCGTCAGTATAATAGGAAATTAAAAAAATTATAATTTTTTACATAAACGTGTAGGGTGAAATTATGTTGTGTATCATTTTAATCGCCATATTTATCGCCTAAAATTTCTTATACTCAGAATCACCAAACTGTTCGTTTAAGCTCATAATATTACCAAAACCTTTTTAGGCTAACAAAATGAAAAGAATAAGGTATAAACAGCAATGGCGAGTACATCAGCCACTTTCTATTTTCCAACGATTAATTCATTACGGCAGAAACGCTGGAAGACTATGCTGAATGGTATCAATAGTGTCACTCAGGTTGAGGATGACATAAAACGGATGGAGGAAGAAAACATGACAAAGACAAAGTCATAATGTCAATGTCACATCTATGTCGGTATTTGTCGGAAACACTACGTTCGAATTTATTGACAAGTATGTTAACTTAGGAAAAGTGTCCGACTATGTCTTAACAATTTCAATTGAACCTCTCGCTTTCACGCAATTTTTTGCACTATCAATACCAATAAAACACACCTTGACATGACCTTGACACTTGTTATAGAGTATGTATTTTTCTTCTAAGCGAGATACGAGTATTATCACGAAAAATAGACCCTGCGAAGGCAAACTGCTTATTATTTTTGTGGTATAAATATCGTATCTCAATCGCCCCCGCTTGTTTTTAAAGTAGCTGTAAAGTGTACTTATATTAAGAAAATTTAACAATTGTACTTATATTATTACGTAATCTACAGCTGCAAACAGTAGTAACAGTGACAGTTGGTAAATGAACATTTCAGCAAGGCTATAATGAGTGTGTAGTAGAAAAAAAAACATAATTCTGCTTTACTTTAGAGGTAAATAGGACACATATTCGGTGATGTTCCCAAAAAATTTCCTTTATTTCCAAAAGTAATATTACAAAGATTTGTTGAGTTTTCCCTTTAAGTAGTCTTGTGTTGGGAATAATTCGCTACTTCCCTAACGGTTGGCTAAATCATCATCATCATCATCATTACAGCCCTTCACAAGTCCACTGCTGAACATAGGCCTCCCCCAAGTAACGCCACAAAGCACGGTCCTGAGCCACCTGCATCCATCGACTTCCTGCATGTCTTACCAGGTCGTCACTCCATCTAGTGGGGGGTCGCCCTACACTACGCCTACCGGTACGAGGCTGCCACTCGAGAACCTTTCTTCCCCATTGGTTATCGGTCCTTCGAGCTATTGGCCGGCCCATTGCCACTTCAGCTTACTAATCCGTTGGGCTATGTCGGTAACTCTGGTTTTACTGCGGATATCCTCATTTCTGAGTCTATCACGCAGAGAAACTCCGAGCATAGCCCTCTCCATAGCTCGCTGAGCGACCTTGAGCGTCCTCATACGGCCAGCGGTCAAGGACCACGTCTCAGATCCGTAAGTCATCACTGGCAACACGCACTGGTTATACACTTTAGTTTTCAGAGATTGAGGTATACCTGACGAGAAGATGTGTCGTAATTTCCCGAACGCTGCCCAGCCGAGTTGAATGCGTCGATTGAGCTCTCGGTCGAAGTTGGACTTACCTAGTCGGACTATTTGTCCCAGGTAAACGTACTCGTCAACAACTTCGAGCATAGTGCTCCCAACAACTACCGGCATAGGTGTGACATGGACATTAAACATGATCTTTGTTTTGTTCATGTTTATCTTAAGACCTATCCATTGGAAGACACCATTGAGGTCATTGAGCATAGTGCTAAGGTACTTCAGCGATTCTGCCATAAGGACTATATCGTCGGCAAATCAAAGGTGAGTGATGTACTCGCCATTGATGTTAATACCGTATCCTTTCCAGTCCAGTAGCTTGAAAACGTCTTTCAACGCAGCGGTGAAGAGTTTCGGGGATATAACATCACCCTGTTTTACACCTCTCTGCAGTTGGATAGGTTTCGAACTCTAGTTCTGTACTCGGATAGCCATCGTAGCCCTACTGTACAAACACTTCAGCACTTCGATATACCGACAGTCAACTCGGCACCGCTGAAGGGACTGTAGCACCGCCCAAATTTCGATGGAATCAAAGGCTTTCTCATTGTCCACATATGCCAGGCAAAGTGGCAGATTGTACTCTTCGGTCTTCTGTACAATCTGCCGCAGGGTATGTATGTGGTCTATGGTACTGAAGCCTTTTCGGAAACTGGCTTGTTCGGGAGGCTGGAAGTCGTCGAGTCTGTGTGCGAGACGATTCGTAATGACTCCCGAAAATAGCATATAGACGCGGCTCAGAAGGGAAATCGGTCTGTAGTTTTTCAAGAGAGCGTTGTCGCCTTTCTTAAAGAACAAGACCACCGCGCTTTTGCTCCACGCCTCCGGAGTAGTGCCACCATGGAGGACGGAATTGAAGGGCTTCTGAAGGACTTCAAGTACCGGTGTTCCACCCGCTTTCAGAAGCTCCGCTGTAATTCCATCCTCGCCCGGGGCCTTGCCGTTTTTAAGGTGGTGGAGAGCCATTCTAATCTCGCTCAGAATGACGTCCGGGATATCATCGGAATAGTGTCGGATAAGACTTGCTCTTGGATCGTTACTCACACTTGCGTGTGGCTCCAACGATGATGTGTACAGCTGCCCATAGAACCTCTCAATCTCACTCAGAATCTCAGGTGTCCCGGAAACGATAACATAATAACGGTTGGCTAAATAAGACTATGTAAACTAGGTATGTTATATCTAGAAGGTTAGAATGGTTAACATTTTTCTAACATTTACATTTAACTTTTTGGTTTAAATTAAATTTAAACTGCAGCTCTAGTGGCGATGAACTACGTTCATGTAAGCATGTTAGTATATAAATGTTCATTAGTGAGTATGTATACATAATATATGCCCTGTTCTATTTATGTTTGAATAAATAAGTACTACCTATCTGTAAAAGGTGAAATACCTTTAAATAAATTTCATTTCATTCACTTTTTATCAAAGATATACCGTATTTAGCGGAGCCTGTTTTTCCATCCGTTCCTGTTGGTAAACAAAAAACCCGTTTTATTTATCTACATTCACAAACTAATCTTTAATTTTTAGTTCGTAACATAAAGTTTATTCCACTACGTATGTAAATACTACGGTTTTATATATGTTAAATATTATTATAATATTAAGAGATATTTGCTCAAGTACAAGTGCACTCTCTATTCTCTCGCTCTAATAGTCCAATAGGACGATTATTCGACACATGCGAAAGAGATAAGGCGCAGGACCAACGACTTTACGTGGTTTTCGAGGCATGGCGGTGAATCACCACCAATTTCCGACTTTGGGCTACTACTGAGAATTTTTTCAAAGAAAAATGCAATAACTGATTTGCATTTTTCGTTTCTCTTTTTTTTTTGATTCGACTCGGGATTCGAAAACGCATTAGCGACACTAGACCAATCTGGCGAGATCTTTGGAAAGGTTCACTTATCGCTCTAGTATAGTACGAATTTTAAACGCTGATGTTTCAACCTTCTCATTACTTCCTAACATGTGTCCATAGTGTAGTTAACGTGGTAGAGCCATGCTGCACCTATTTTAGTAGTATAGTTGTAGCACGAATGGGTCGGCTCGACGGGGAAGGACCACGCTCTCACAGAATACCAGCGTCAAATAGCAGCTCAACGTTGCTGTGTTTCGTATGGTGAGTGTAGAGAAAGGGAGACCCATTTAACTGGAATTGTGGCATTCCATCTTAGTTCTCACGGGTGACAATGCATCTGCATTTTGATTCGTAATCGAGAATAGATGTAGATGTCTATGGGCCGCAGCAACCACTTACCATCAGGTGGACTGTGTGCTCGTTTGTCAGCCTTGTACTATAAATAAAAGCATTAGTAATAATTCACCACGAAATTTGTGTACCGCAAAAATATCGCTATGTATATCGTAACTTCTCGTATATTTAATTGATTTTACTAGGGACCTACGCTATTACTATTGGAGATAACAAAGTAAAATACATTTTAGAAAATTATTTAACGTTAGCGTAAGAAATTGTTCAAGCAAGTTTATTATCAGTTAGTGGGTGGCTGTCGACCTTGGGATATATATAGCCTCATTCGTATCAATTCCCCCCCACACTAATATTCAGTTTAATATGTTAAATTGAACGTTTGGAAATAATGTTTAAATTTGACTGAATATAAAATAAGACAAGTGTATTGACATCTGAAATAAAAAAATATAACTTTCTATGATATATATATATATATATATATATATATATATATATATATATATATATATATATATATATCAGATATTGAACGATAAGTAAAACTGAAATAATGTGTGTTTAAGTATATAGGTAACTTTTTGCTATCAAGTTGCCGCATATAAATAATTAAACAAAGAGTGATAAAATTTTGTGGGATAGTGGTATCACTTGATTTTACGACTACGATAATATGTTTTGGATAATATACGAGTTCTTTTTCTACGACTACACCCGTGCAAAAGGCAGGTTGCTTATATATGACTGTGGATGATTTTAATAGTCACGACGTTTTTGACGTTGAGCCAAAGAGTAATAAATAAATAATATACAGGAACGTTGAGCCCTTAAAATATTTACTTTATTTAACGATGTTATCGTTTATTATCCTGCGTTCCGCTACCGGTTTAAGTGTTTTTAATCTTTTTTATTCTAAATTACCTCTACATGGCTACGCTTTATACTACTATAATTTTAAATCGACCCTGATTACCGAATCTGATTCGTAGTTCAAGGTGGTCCCTACTTATGCTTGAGCTATCACTGCAGACAGCCATTAGTATTATAAAAACTATAATATTATAAAAACTATAATATTATAAAAACTATAATATTATAAAAACTATAATACTAATGGCTGTCTGCAGTGATAGCTCAATCATAAGTAGGGACCCCCTTGAACTACGAATCAGATTCGGTTATAAAAAATATTTTTTTTATTGTAGCATAAATGTCAGTAGATAATAATAACGGTTATGATTGCTGCCCCGTATCGAGTGAATTAGTGAATAAATGGAAGTTTACGGTTTCGGTGTATTTAAATAAACCTTTCGCGTATTCCTTAAATAGCAAGAACATATTAATAACAAATTATTAATGAAATAAAATCTAATAATGACAGTTTATTTAAACCTTGAGGTCGATAATATCTGTAAGGCGATATTTATTTTGCATAACAATTAATTTGTAAACTACAGTCACAAGACCAGTGAAAGTAATCGAGAGGCGTGTTTAGTTCCCGACATACAATATATTGTGTCATGTAAATCTTATTTAATACGAGTGTTGTATTTGAAATTAGTTTTATTTTTAATTTTAATATTTTTATTGTATGATAATAAAACACTTAATAAACAATTACATTCAAAATCTTTTTTGGGACTGGATAAAGTTACTTTCATACCGAACTTCCCTTTTATTTTATTTTATTTTCAATTCGTAATAGTTGAGTTTACTGTAACGCATATTTCTTAATAAAACTTTAGTGACATATGAACTTACAGTCCACTCAAAAGTACGTAGTAAGTGGCTACTGCAGTCATAGACACCTACAGCCAAGTTCGAACAAAGAAGAGTCATCCCACACTAGGGCTTTACTTCTCTCATAATAGACTAAAGTTATATCGTCGTAGTATACCAATATTTTAAATTGCTATTTTATTTTATAAATGTAAAAATCTACTGATAAAATGTATTAACCTTAGCTCTTTTCCATTCGAATTTAAAAGGCGGCATTTGGTAATAGAAGGCAGAGGTCTGTGTTGCAGGGAAGTCTGGGTCCTCCCACAGCTCCCGACGCTGCAAACAGTTAGCTTTGATGCGTTCGTACTCATTCATCTTGAAGTACCTGAAATTAAAACAACAAAGTAAAGTAAAGTTACAGCCTATATACGTACCACTACTGGGCACAGGCCTCCTCTCATTTCTGAGAGGGTTTTAGGGCAACGAATAGTCCGCCACGCTGCCCCAATGCGTGTTGGCAAACTTCATATCTCTTCGAAATATTTTTTTTCTTATTTCACGTTTCCTCACGATGTTTTCCTTCACCGCCGAGCACGTGGTAAATCAGCACTTAAAATTGCAATTAACAATTTCATTGGTGCCGGCGGGGATCGAACCCGGTTTGCTCGCGTATTGTGAAATTTACAGCGAGCGCTAACCATCTGAGCTACCACGGCTTTTAATTAAAGCAAATTAAAGCAATATTACACTATAATTAATATAAATACCAACGATTTTATATATAATATATAGATTTTATTGTTATAAAACTGAATTGGTAAACGAACTTACAATCCACTTGGTAGTAAGAGCTTCTGCAGCCAGTGGACACCTGTAAACTACGCCCAGCAAAGAAAGCTACAGATGTGTTGTCACTTCTGAGAATTAAGTTGTAATGTCTCACAGCCTATATTTACACTGAATCTATACACCCTTCAAACCATCCAACAGAACACGCAAGCATTGTTATTTCTTGATAGATATAGGAAAAAATGTGGAACCTACCTAGATGGACTATAGGCAGGAAAGGGTAGTAAACGAATAAATTAATTAACTAATAAAATAATTCGTTCTTCAGAAATTGCTGTAAGTAAGCTCCTTAAACCATAATAACCAGCTATAAAATATTTATTTAAAATATTTTATCACTATTGTCAGTCTAGTCTATTATCAGTAAGCATACGAAATATTTTACGAAAGGAGTTAGTAGTAGATAATAGAATTTCAATAAGGTAAACTCCAAGTAATTAACAATTTCGTCATTCATTAAATATTATTTTGACTACTCTCACAAACACAGTTAACGTGAAATTATTGAATTATCGAAACGAACTTTTAAATTACAAGAATGAAGAAATAAGTAATTATGTCTTTTATACGTGGTAGAGTATAGTCATGCTGCAACTATATTAGTAGTATAGTTGTGGCACCTTCAGGGGTGACAACAAATCTGTGATCGAGGATAGATGCAGATGGCTATGGGCAACCACTTACCATCAAGTAGACTGTGTGGTCGTTTGTCACGCTATCTAATAAAAAATCGAATGACATGCAAAAGTCAAAAATAATTTTTATCGTAGTTTGTTTTATTGTCTTTTCACCAATAACAAAACGTGCAGATATGTTGCAATTTAAATTAAGTTTGGGAATATAATGTACAGTCATTTTTAATGGAAGTTAGTAAATTCGTCTGATGATTTAATAATTGTTGTTGATATAATTTTAATCCAAGTCTGCCGGGTATAGAAGGTAGTCTTCGTTAACTATAACATCAAACACCTCAGTCCTCCCCGTGACTGTACGTATATGTCAATAGATATTTGCCTGTGCAAACAGGTTTCCAGAGCTTTAGAGAGCAATGGAAGAATAAAATAAATGAAGGAGTGATAACGTAGTTCAGCGTTACATATTTTTGAAAGACGATTTACATGAGTTTTTCCGCAATGTTGGATACTAACCTGAGTCCGGTGCATATATTTTATAATATGATAGCTGACAGATGGCACTCAAGCAAAAATCAGAAATTTACTTATCTCAGCACAACTTACAGCCTTAGAATTAATAGCTAATACAACTTTAGTAATTTACTTCAAAACATAGAATGAATAGATGTTGCATAAAAGCAATAGACGCTTTGGTTTGTAATCTATACAAAAAGGCTCCAATCTTATATCCTTCCCAATAAAGGAAGAGGTCCACGTACAGTAGTAGAATTTTACTGGTGAATTGTGACGAAATGAAAAGGTAAGAAAAAGAACAAATAAAATATTTCCTTCTGTAAATCTGCCTTTACAAATTTCTCTAACTTGTTCAAATACATTATAACGTTTTTATGGCCTAATCATCTAAAAGTGTTTGCCTTATTTAAAAATTATTGTATTAGGTCCATATTTTTTATAACTACAATAATCAACATATTAAGGTAGCCCTAGTCGATGGCACGAACTAAGTGGTGGGCGGGGTAAAAATGCATGCTATCTCAGCTGACATCACGTGCGAAAGGGATAGACGCTGTGATGCAGTAAGAAGCTAGTGCGCACACACATACGCACTCGAGTGACGCAGTG